ATGTACCCCAGCAAGTATTTGCAGTGACACCCAAGCAGAGTTTTCAAAATAGATTGGGATTTATTAGTCAACTGGAACACAGCATTACAAGCCCTTAGGTTAGCTCAGAGAAATAAAGGTTTAAGCATAGTCCTTTCTAGTCAAGCCAGAGCAATTCACCAGCTAAGCTGTAGTAATCTCCATTTTCAGGATCTCTTCCAACCCTAATCTTCTATGATTCTATGAAAGGAGGTCATCTAGTCCAATCCCCTGCTCAAAGCAGGACCAACACCAACTAAATCATCCCAGCCAGGGCTTTGTCAAGCCAGACCTTAAAAACCTCCAAGGATGGAGGTTCGACCACCTCCCTAGGTAACCCATTCCAGTGCTTCACCATCTTCCTAGTGAAATAGTGTTTCCTAATATCCAACCTAGACCTCCCCCACTGCAACTTGAGACCATTGCTCCTTGTCCTGTCATCTGCCACCACTGAGAACAGCCTAGATCCATCCTCTTTGGAACCCCCTTTCAGGTAGTTGAAGGCTCCTATCAAATCCCACCTCACAGTTTTCTCCTGCAGACTAAATAACCCCAATTCCCTCAGCCTCTCCTCATAAGTCATGTGCCCCAGCCCGCTAATAATTTTCACTGCCCTCCACTGGACTCTCTCTGATTTGTCCACATCCTTTCTGTAGTGGGGGGATTAAAACTGGACACAATACTCCAGGCGTGGCCTCACCAATGCCAAATAGAGAGGAATAATCACTTCCCTCAATCTGCTGACAATGCAGCCCAATATGCCTTTGGCCTTCTTGGCAACAAGGGCACACTGCTGATTCATATCCAGCTTCTCATCCACTGTAATTTCCTGATCCTTTCTGACTTCCTTGGTCAGTTCCAAACTTCCAGGTAAGAGCTGCGAGCTTCTTTCGCAGCCTAAAGCCTAAACTTAACCCTCTGTCCCAATCCTTCGTTTTCAAACTGGTGTCTCTGCTGAGCTTTGCTGCTGAGTGTGGATTCACGAGTCATAGGAGCTTGCATTGTCTCTCTGGACCCCAGTTGGTCTGGGTCAGTTTCAACCAGTTCATTAATGACTCTGCTGCTCTGGGTGGAATGAACAAAGTGAGACACACACATGCGCCTTTGTCTCTTACAATCTTCTCCCCCCACCACCACCACAGGGTAGCAATGCACAGTATAAAGGAGAAACTGAGGCACACATAGGCCACAAATATACTACAAAAAAATTCCCCACTTCACCACACAAGGCCCACTCAGGGTTTGTGGCAGAGAACTGAACCCTAGTCTTCCCAGACACAGGCTAGTTCCCTAACCACTAGAGCATGCTTCCTCTTCAACAGCTGTGATATTCCCTTTACTTAGCATAGGTAATACGGAGCCACCAATTACTGGCAATGGCATCTCTAAAGCTTTTAATGATGACCATTTTATTTTTCTGAATTGCATTAACCTCAATCAGAGAGCAGAAATATATTTATAAGGATACACTCAGACCTTTGCCAGTTCGTTGAGACACAAACCAGTATAGCCCTCTGTATACAATCAATGTTTTATTTAACTATCACATTAATTTTATACCTGTTGGCCACAAGCCACTTTCCCAGCGTGTGGTGTCATCTACACCCATGGTTGCATTTTAATCAGCTTAAGAAAATTTGTTGTTTGAGTCAAAATTGCTGCAATGTCAGCAGTGGGCAGAGACGCACAGGACAAGTTTAGGCAAACTGTGTAATCTCCTGAACACTTCTTTGATTAATATGGGATGCCCCATAATAGTTTGTGATTAATATAGAGTGCCCTGTAATTTGTGAATACTGTATGTTGGTCTGGTTTTCTGTATAAATATTTTGATTTAAGCGCCTCTGTCATAAATATAAAGGGAAGGGTAACAGCCTTCCTGTATCCAGTACTATAAAATCCCTCCTGGCCAGAGATACAAAATCCTTTCACCTGTAAAGGGTTAAGAAGCTCAGGTAACCTGGCTGGCACCTGACCCAAAGGACCCATAAGGGGACAAGATACTTTCAAATCGGGGGGGAAGAAGGGGGAGAAAGGTTTTGGTCTGTCTTTTCTGTGTGTGCTTGCCGGACACAGGTCAAGGAAGCAAGCAATCCAACTCCATTAGAATTAGTAAGTACTAGCAAGGGAATGTGTTAGCTTATTTTTGTTTTGGCTTGTGATTTTCTCTGTGCTGAGAGGAAGGTGTAATTCCTGGTTTTCTTTTTGTAACTTTAAAGTTTGGCTCAGAGGGAAATCCTCTGTGTTTTTGAATCTGATTGCCCTGTAAGATTATCTTCCATTCTAATTTGAGAGTGGTGCCTCTTTTACCTTTTTTCTTTATTATAAAATTCTGTTTCTTTTAGAATCAGATTGGGGTGTTTTTTTTTCGTGTCCTAAAAAAACCCAAGGTTGGCCTGTGCTCATCTTGTTTATTCTCAAGCCCCCCCAGGAAAGGGGGTGTAGGGACTTGGGGGAATAATAGGGGGGAGTAGGAACTCCAAGTGGTCCTTTCCCTGAGTTTGTCTAACTTGCTTGGTGGTGGCAGCATTACCTAATCCAAGGTATAAGGGAGAATTTGTGCCTTGGGGAGTTTTTAAACCTAAACTGGTAGAAATAAGCTTAGGGGGTCTTTCATGAGGGTCCCCACATCTGTACCCTAGAGTTCAGAGAGGGAAGGGAACCCTGACTGCCTCTCTCTAGTAGACTGTCTAGGATGGGTCAGGCAGCCAGCCAGCAATGGCTCAAGATGGTCACGTATCAGTCTCCACTAAAGAGTTAAGGAACAAAGCCAGAACTATCAGTAGTGAGGACTCTGGCTTGGTCTTTTCACAGCCTAGGAGACTGATTTAACTGGGGGCGGGGTGGGGGGCAGAGGGACAAAGCCCATGAACACTGGAATAGACAACCTGCAGAACAAAGAACACTTGCAGGGTTTAAAAGCACACTCTCAAGTAATAGGAGGATAACCGGACTGAAAAGCCATTCAGAGGAACCTGGGGGGGTAAGAACGAAGCAGGATTTGAAGCAGCTAGGCCTGCTAAAGTCACCGTTATGGGATGGTAGGACTTCAGGTCAGATAGACATGTGTGTAGGCTTTTTATAATCCTTTGTCTCGCTGCTGCATAAAATAGGTTTAAGAAAGCTGTTTGGGGCCCATCTCATTGTCACAGGATCCCAAAGGGAGAAATCATGGGTGCTCGAAACCTCATCAGATCTGCAGGATGAAAATGGTAGGTATACACCACGTAGCCTTACCAAATCTTGGTTTAGAGAAGCGGGGGGGGGAAATCGTGAACCTCTGCCCTAAGACAGGTAAGTGTAGGAGCCCAAGACCTGAGCATAGGTGCTGGGTGTGCTTCCGCCCCCACAGCTTGAAGGAGTAACAATCCAAATACAGGGTTCCAGAACAAAAAAATGTTCCAGCACCACGGGACCCGAGTGCACTTGGAGAGACCCAAAAGGGGACAGAGGTGCAGCTAGCCCTGTAAGCTTAGGCTGAACCAAAGCCAACAGGGTCAGAAGCTGATATTAACTTGTTATCCACAAACAAAACCAGCCATATACTCACAGCCTCAATAACCTTTATATTAGATGAATGAAAAATAAGATCAAAAGCAATCTTACAAAGAGCACATTGTCTCTCTTTCTCTGCATCATGCTGCATGGGCTGGCAGGGGGTGGGAGCAGGTTTAAGACCATCTTGGGGATTTTCACTCCCTGAGTGTCTGGAGATTGATTTGATTGCGGAAGTGATGACCCTGACCTTCCAGTGGGAGGGAGAGCTACCCAAACAGTCTCCAGAACTCTGATCTTTCCCCCTCCTCCACAGACCGGTTGACGCATGGATCAGCTCCCTTAGCTGGGGAGTTCTGCACAGTCAGAGGTGGCAGTAGGGGTAGAGGGATAAGAAACAATCAAGTGAATAATGGAGGCTCTAAAAAGAAGATGTGAGCATCTCCCACCCTCAGGCCCAGGGTAATGAAGGAGACCCTGTCCACAAAAACACAGAAAATAAATGGTATGGAAAGAACTATTTATCTGAGTAGCACGATAAGCGCGGAGTGCTCTTTTTACTGGGAGCTGCCTGCTGGGTTAACCTGGCCTACTTTTCATTTCAGAGAACCTTCAGGAATAACTGTGACCACTTCTTGCCCTTCCTTCCATCAGCTAATGCCAGCAGCATGGCTCCCTTGTTTCCTCTTCTAGTAAAATCCACTCAGGCTGGAGTCATGACGATGTGCCTTTTAGCACCACCCCTGTAGGCGGTAGCACATTTACCTATTCTCAGGTTATTGTTGTGGTCCATGGTTGTACATGGCAAGTTCTTATGAAGGGAGAGGGAATCACCTGGGGAAATCATGACTGCAATTTCATTTCTGTTTATCATAATGTTAAAGTTTTGTTCACCAAATGCTGGACTTATTAGTTCTATGTTCTTTTGTCTCCCTTCGGCATGGTGTCAAATTTTTGTACATTTTTTTCCATTTTCATAATGAATATACATCGATGTAAAGCTCTGAATGTCCTAGCACACCATTCAGAATGCAATTAAAACTCAGCCAGACAGCTTAAAGTTGGCATTGTGTGTGGACCTAAAAAATCTTATGTCAAGTACACTTAAGAAATCCAATACACAACAAAGATGTAACCCTTCTTCCAGATGTTGTCAGCAGTGGCAACGGCCAGGTTCAATATTAGCAAAACCAGCTCGAGCCTCCACCTGGAAACCTGGGAAAACAAAACACCTCTCCTGGGTGCCCTTACTAAGCAATACTTCTCCATTCACAAGCACCAAGTCCATGTATAACACAGGAAAAACTTATTAAGAGAAGAAAATTTGGGAAAATACAGTAACGATGACTCAGAAGCATGCAAATAATAAGCAAAACTCTCTCCCAAAAGCATCTTGGGCAGTAGTCTTTTGCCTGAGTTTCCCATGGGGAAGTCCAATAGACAAATATCCCTTTAACACACCACTTCCTTCACTGTACCCCACTCACAGTTTGTTGGCATAAGTTTGTTGTCAGAGGTTAGCAAAGTCCCAGAGTCCAGACGTGCATTCAGATAGGTTCACCTCTACCGCCTGGGAGAAGGGAGGCAAGGTTTGCTGCCTGGCTCCTGTGAAGAAATGCCTGTCTCTTGTCTCACTGCTTCAGTTTGTTGCCTCTCATTATATGACCTCTTGCCACTGCTTTACTACTGATAGCAATTGGGCTACTACTTCTTTAGCATCTCATTTTCCTGGTTTACCGTTATCACTAGGAAGAGAGGAAGATTCTTAATTGAATCTATTCAGCTGTGTCTTTAAACTCTGCAGTCCCAGCAAGGATAAGAATGTTCAAATAACACATAAGACCCTTCAACAGAAGCCATACACCCACCCAAAAAAAAGAGAAACATTAACATTCCTATCTTCATTTCTCCCCTCCCCCTGGCTTGGCTTTTGGCTCACTACCCAGCTGTTCAAGAATGGGCTATAGGTTATGGTGATCCCCCTTAATCAAGGCATATGAAGTATAATTCTACTGCCCTTTATTCTTACAATACAGGGAATAACATTTAATTACCCCTATATCTAAGACTTATGTGAATTTTAACCCAAAACAGCCAAAAATGATCACGATGATACAGTAGGAGTCACTTATGCAAATAAGATCTGCTCATGAGGTCTTTTCCTCTCATTCATCAATAGATGGCCACAGAAAGCTCACTCACCCCAGTGGCTTACATCTATAGTCACTGAGGTGTATTGACTATAGAATTATCTCCCAATGGAATGGGTGTGATCTCAGATTTTAATAAATGCTTGTAAAGGGATATATACTCCAGTTCATCCTGACAGTTTTGTGTGATAGTTTTAATACATTTTTTTTCCAAGGAGAATTTCTGCATTCTAAAAAAGTCAAAATTTACCAAGTTCTCTAGCAAAAAATGTACCTACCTCAGAACAGAGAAGTGCTTGAGGTTCAGGAGTATCTTGCAGAACGGGGGGGGGGGGGGGGCGACGTAAAAGCTCTGCCTGGGGGGGGGGGGGGGGGGGGGTGCACCAGTGATGGGCAACACCAAGGGACCTCAGCCACACCCCCACCAGTGCTCCTGGGGGGCAGAGGCTGAGGGACCTTGCTTATGGTAAAGAGTCAAGGACATGGAGCTTTGGCTTGATTTGGGGCGGGTGAGGTCAGGGCTTTTTCCCCAGCTCGGTCAGGGAAGGGGTGGGAAAGGAAATGTACGTTATTTACAGTATTATGGTTTATTTGTATGTATATAATTTAAAATGTTCTCGGTGTTAATAGTGGCCCGCGGTGCTCACTGCAGCTGCACGGGGGGCCTCAGGGAATAAAATTTGGGAATCCCTGCCCTAGAGAAGCCCCTCAGCCCCTACGGTCTGGCTTCTGCCCTGGCCTTGCATGCAATCCATTCCTTAGCTGAAACAATGGAAGCCGCCACCAATCACTAAACAAAGGGGCATTTAACTGATTCCTCATTCAGCCTGAATGAAAGGCAGCTATCATGCCTATCCACTTCAGCGAAGTCTGTGACTTCTTATAGATTAAAGACAGGCTGGTTGGAAGCAACCTAACCTGCATGTTAACAATAATAATATCTAGTTCCTATCTAGCACTTTCCACCCACAGATCTCAAAGAGAAAAGGAAAGCGGGGGTGGGGGATATGGGGAAGGAAGAGGCACTATCTGAGCTTCTACCCTCTTCCTTTTCATTTGGGGGCTTCTTCAACAGAAGGTGGCACTCCAGGGGAGCCTCCCAACGAAAAGCCAACTCTGGAGAGCAAGGGAATTGGGTGAAGGGACAGATAATCTGTCGCTTCACCACCTCAAACATTCCCTGTGTAACTGCTTGCCCCTGTATCTGTCTAGAACGCCAGCCTCTTCCTCTGGCCCCCTCCCGTGCTGCCCGATAACCCTTCTTCCCCCAGTTCACCTAACACTCCTTTGCTCTCCTATAACCCTCTCTTCCCCCAACACTCACCACTGCCTGTAACTTTCCCTCATAGCCTGAAACTTTTTTTCCTTCTGCATCAGTTTTGGCCCTGTTTTTTATTTTATTTTTCTGTGAACAATTGAAAATTCAAGTGGAAACTAATTTTTTTTGTTCATTTTCATAGAAAATTTCCACAGGAAAAATTTAAAATTTCAGACCAGCTCTACTCCTTAAGCCTTGCGGATTATTTACTGGGGCTCTCAGCGCATCACAAAATGTTCCCCAGGTCCTTCACCCCTCACACAATATCTCTAGTATCTCCCATAGTTCCCTGAGCCTCAGAAAACATATCCCAGGGTACATGCTTCACAGAATGTCACCTTTGGCTCCCAGCCTCACAGAATGTAGTCTGGGCTCCCTGTGCCTCAAAGAACTTTGTCCAAGGCTAGCAACCTCTCACAGGAGGTCTCCTGGGGCTAACTATCCCTGACAGATTGTCCCACAGAGCTAATAACTCCCAGAGCTCCCATCCCCTCGGAAAAACACCTTTAGGATTCCCTACCCCTCAGAAAACTGCCATCAGAGTAGAGCTCCCCAAATATCCCTTGGACTTCTAATTGCCTGTAGAATGGCCTCCTCAGATTCTAGTTCCTCACAGAACCTTCTGGGTCCCTCACACAAGCAGAGAGCATCACGGGGTGCTCCTGGAAGCCTTCACGGAATTCCTTACACCTTAAACATAAGGTTAATGCCGCACTTCCTGAGGTTAAGCTGATTCCTCAGCCTCTGACCTTGTCCTTTAAACCTAAATGTAACCTCCACCTAATAACCTGTCTCTGACCCTAGACCTAAAACATACTTCCAGGCCTCAAAGCCTAAATCATTATCCCCTAATCCAAAACCACCACAAACTTTGACTAAAACTAGTCCCTCACCCTTAGACCCACACCCTGTCCACCTCTGACCCCATCCACTTAAACCTAAATCCCTGTCATTTAAACTGGAATTGAAGTCTTTGCCCTGTAAACCTAATGCCCTGGCTGCACCCCTAAGCCTAAATTCAAGCCATGCCCACTTAGCCTGAGCCCCAGTAACCCACTTCAAACCATGACCCCTAAACCTTAATCCCAATTCCCTAAACCCAACTCCATCACCCCTAATTCTAAAACTGAACCCCCTCTCTCTAACCCTTAATCCTCTTCACACTAACACTAAACTGACATCAGCTAATCCTGCCTCACCATCCCTTAAAGCTAAATCTATATCCCTATGTTGACTGTCTGCCAGCAGTGAGAAATGTCACACATGGAACTGCGGAAATCTTCCCGCTTCTTCTACAAGAGGCAAACCTCACACCAAGTACCTTCCACAGGCTTTGGGTAGGGGAGTAGGAGACCTAGTCCTTCCCATGCCCCTTATCCAAGCAGCCCAAGAGGTCACTCAGAACTGGAGCAATTGATCCCAGGGATGCAAGGCAGAGAGAGTCTTCCAGGTGCAGTGCAGTTGCTCTCCTTACCCCTAGCATTTGCCGCCTCTTTCAGGATCATGCTCTTCTAAAAACTTGTCCATTAACATTTGCCTATTAAGCTACTAACAATAAAAACCAAAGCAAAAGCACCATGAGGCCTGGTTGAGACTAGCACAGGTTGGCCATTAGAACAACTTTTTATTACAGTTATACTTAAAACAGATATGCAGCCCCCTGTTGCGGTTCAAATACAAGACAGAACAAGGCTTTAAGCAAGCAAGCAGGCTGGTCTGCCGACGGGCTGGTCTCCCTGTCAGCTTTCCACCCTTTCTTTTATTTCTCTCCCTCCTCCTGCGCATTACATACTCCAACAGATAAAAGGAATACACTGGCTTTGTTTAATATTCTTATTTACCAATTTCTATCTACCGCATTCCTTGCTCTCGGGCCTTGAGCCCAGTCCTGGGAGGCTTCCCACGGTTCATGTCATCTGGGCGAGTTTCCAAGGTTCATGCCCTTGAGAGGAGCTGTGTTTGCACTGCTCCTACACAACACTCCGGGTGTGCCCTGAATGTTGCCAAGTGCATGAACCCCGTATGAATCCTACAGCCCCCCAAAAAGCAAACTGAAGGTTCCTACCTCAGCTTTCACTGTGCCCCCATGCCTGTGGGCTTGAGACCAGCATGAGCTGCCCCAGAAATGTTTCAGCTGCCTTGCTGTAATGTACATTTTTGAACAACATTATTGTGTGTGACTGACTGAGGAGCTGAAGGTCCATTTTCAAAAGTGAAGGTCAATGGGACCTAGGCTCCTAAGTACCTAAATCATTTTAGAAAATGGGGCTTAGGCTTCTATGTGACTTAGTCCCCTTTGTCCCCAAACTCCTCTCTTCTATGGGGAATAATTGTTGGAAACACCATGAGATGAACTGTTCTTACGTTACCTGGCTCTGCTCCCTCAGGGATGATCACACTAATGTTATTGGCATGGACTGAGTTTTCAGGGAGTATGTTTTATTGTTAATAGCCTTAAGAGTCTTATTACGGCAGTGAGAGCACTGGCTACTACCCAAGTTCCTTTCCTTCCACTTAATGCTAGAAGGCAAAAATAGATTTACTAGGACAGAGAGGGAGGGAGGCACTGAGGGACTCATAAATATTCATCTGCCTAGTTTACGAAAGGAAACCTATCTTTGTTCACAACAGCTGGAGATAGGGTATGGATGGATGTGATCCCTCCTGGAGTGTGATTGCAGTGTTTATCCCCAGGGCGATATAGAACAATGAAACATTGTGGAACTCAGCCATGGGGGAAGTGTCCGACAAAGAGTGTCAAAGTTCAAGGATTTTTACAAATGTTCTGTGCTGTGTTGGTGTAGCTGTAGTGGTCCCAGAATACAAGAGACACAAGGTGGGTGAGGGAATATCTTGTATTGCCTTCTGTTAGTGAAAGGGACAAGTTTCTGAGTTACACAGAGCTCTTCTTCGAGGCTCTTCTTCTTCAGGCTCTGTGTAGCTCAAGAGCTTGGCTCTTTCACCAACAGCAGCTGGTCCAATAGAAGATATTACCTCACCCACCTTGTCTCTCCTGATTTTAAAAAATGGCAGCCTAATCTGGATGACATTGGACAGGGCTGGAACTTCTGCTGAGCACAGACAGAATCTTGACTGTGAAACAAAATGAAACCTTCTATATCCACAATAAAAAAAGAACAAAGCAAAAGCACCACGAGGCCTGGTTGAGATTAGCACAGATTGCCCCTTAGAACAACCTTTTAGTAAAGTTATACTAAGACATGCAGCTCAAAAAAAAAAAAGAAGCAAACTGAATGTTCCTGCCTCAGCTTTCACTTCGCCCGCAGGCCTGCCCTCCCCATGCTCCAGCTTTGGGCTTCAGACCATCATGAGTGCCCCAGAAATGTTTGAGCAGCTTTGCTGTAACGTACATTTATGAACAACATTATGGGTGGGATTTTCAAAAGCGTCTGAGTGACTGAGGGGGCCTAGGACCCATTTTCAAAAGTGAATGTCAATGGGATCTAGGCTCCTAAGTACCTATATCCCTTTAGAAACTGGGGCTTAGGCTCCTATATCACTTAGCACTTTTTTAAAATGTTACCCAAAGGGTATGTCTACATTGCAATAAAAGACCTGCAGCACGGTTGGGGCGGGCCCAGATCAGCTGACTTGGGCTCACGGGGCTCTGGCTGCCCGGCTAAAACTTGCAGTGTAGGCTTTTAGGCTTGGTCTGGAGCCTGGGCTCTGAAACCCTGTGAGGAGGGACAGTCTCAGAGGGGTTCCAGGCCAAATGCAAACTGCAATTTTTCGCCCTGCAGCCTGAATCCCAAGCCCCAGCTGACTCAGGCTCTGAGACTTGGTGTCATGGGTTTTTTATTGCAGCGTAGACATACCCTTAGAAGCACACATTGCCATTGACTTTTAATGGAACTTGTATTCCTAAATCACTCAGGTCCACATTGTTAAAGGGATTTAGACACCTATCTCCCAGGCACCTACATACCTGTAAGAATCAGGCCAACAAGACACCATGCCCCTCCTGCAGAAGCCCTTCCGCATGACCTTTGTATAGGATTGCGGAATGGGGATGCTCATTATCTGGACAACAGAAACCTGCTCAGAAGGATATTCCTATGTCAACCCTAATTATCTGGAAACAAAGAAGTGCAGCCTCAGTTCCATTATAAAGAAATGTTTTATTTAGTTCTCAAAATGATCAGCAATGCAGAGCAGACAGCGTGTGAAAGATTTCCAGTTGTTCTCAAACCCTTTGATCCATAACTCTGTCTCTCCCCACCTCGCACTGCCACTAGATGAACCATGGAAAACCTCAGCTGGCAGGTAAAGTAAGGTTGACTGTGTAACAAAGTGTAACATTCTATATCCACAATAAAAAAACAAAGCAAAAGCACCACGAGGCCTGGTTGAGACTAGCTCAGATTGCCCATTAGAACAAACTTTTATTAAAGTTATATTTAGATTCGCAGCTCAAAAAAAAAAAAGCCACCATGCAATAGCAAGTCAGGTGCCAGAAGAAAGTAGCAATCTTAAGGAGAGGGGGAAGAAACTCAAAATTATTGATATACACGTAGTGGCATACAAAATAAGTTTACTCCTGTGATGCGCTCACTGCTGTGTGATCGCCTGCCTTCCTGCTGGGCTAAACGGGCCTGAATTTCATTTCGGACCGTTTGTAGGAGTAGTTGTACCCTTTGCCTGCCTGCCAGTTCACCCCGTCTGCAAAGCTGCTGTGGGCTCCCAGCCAGTACATCCCATTCAGGTTGGAAGAATGGCAGCTACTGTACCACCAGGCCCCCTTGTAGGTTGTTGCACATGCATTCGAACCAGGATCTTGCTGTCGGTCTTTAGTGGAGAACAGCATGTTGTTGTGGCCGGATAACGAATCCCCTGTGTGACGTAAATGAAACCACTGTTTATGGCAGGTCGCAGGCAGTTTAGTTCCTCAGTGGCCAAATCTAACATTCCTGGAGTCGTGCTGTCCATTTCCCCCTTTCATGAGGCACTCAGAATCCCTGGAACTATAGAAGGAAGTCTGAAGCTCAATTTAACCGCTTCCATCTGGGTTCCTGATGCAGCAGGTGCTGGGTTACATACCACCTCCAGCTCTTCTGAGGTGCAGGTATTCCACAGAACGCCTGTGGCTAAGTCACCTGACTAGGACTAGGATTGTCACACACCTCCTGGGTAACCTGGGACAAGTCGCTAGAAAGTCAACGGGAGTTGGGTACCTTAAGCCTCTCTGAAAGTGGCAGTCATAATATCTCGGCACTTCAGTTCCTTAGCTGTAAATCATAATTCCTTACCTGCACCCCCTGCCTTGTCTATTGAGATTGCCACTTCTCTTACCATGTACAGAACCGATTAACTGATAGTACAACAGTACCTGATCTCGTTTCGGTCCTCTAGGTGCTATCATGATATAAATAAACAATAACAGTACGGGCACTTCAAAAATCATGGCTGTTGACTGCAGCAAACCCAACAGGACCATGGCCAAATTCCTCTGGGGAAGGATGGGATGAGTTGAGAATCCATTTAGAACCAGATATTATACACAGGAGCCCCGAAAATGGACCCATATCAAACCAGAGTGTGAGATCGAGTTCAGACAACAAAACAGCTAGCTCCTCAGCTCCCTGGTGGGCAGGCTCCCCAGCTCCCCAGCGGGCAGGTGGATGCCAAATAGACTGTTTGGTTCCACCAGAAATTTCACTCTATTAGTGTCGCATTCTGATAAGTAACGAAATGTCAGCAATCTGGAATTTCACATTACATGGACATTCCCTTTTCCAGTCAGTTTTACTCCCGTAGCAAGGCTCCTGTGTGAGATTGCTACTTCTTTCTGCCTCTACTCTCAGTTTAAGTCAGGTGGAGCAGCAATTCATGAACATCATAAATACAGCTAAACAAACTTTTTCTAACCTCAAAGGTCCAATTCAGGATCTATTTGAGTTTGCGGTGAACATTCAGCTCTGCTCTTCTTTTATCTGAATAACTTTCCATCTGTAATGACACTCACCTGCCATTTACCTGGACCACGTTCTGAGCTCCTGACTCAGGTAAAATGCCCAGTGACTTTGATGGGAGTTTGCCTGGCTAAGGACTGAGTAGGAGTGGGTAATAACTTCAAGATTTAGCCTTAGGAAATGGCAGAGTAATTGTAGATGAGAAGTTTAATTTACTTTTGTTGTGGGATTCTGTACACCTCCAATGGCATTGTAGCATTTCTCTGCGCTATGAAATGTAGAGACCATGTATGGCACCTACCTGCATTACCCCCAAGGAAATCTCCAAGAATCAGCTTGTAATTTTCAGTCTCTCCTAAAATTTTGAATGACTTGTACTTGGCAAATGCATGGATGTTATCGAAATCTGTGAGGTCAATGCGAAGTTCATTATCTCCTAATGGAAACAAATTGGAAAGAAAGAAAATACCTCATCACACATTCCATCCACATTTTGCATCCTTAGGAGTTCCTTCAACTTCACCTCACCTCTAATAGAGGCAAACCAGCAGCACCCTTCCCTTCAGCTCTGACACCAAAATCTCCTCCTTTCCACTGGATTTATTGCTGACCCATCCTGGATGGTAGGTTGCACCTCTTATCTTGGTTATATTTATATCTTAGTGGATACATTTACATCTAAGTGCCAGAAAAACTAGAAGCAACTATAAAGAAACCCTCAAAACCTTCGCTGGTTATGTATGACTGAATGCTAGCTGCTAAGCAAGAAGATATTTGAAATCGGTTTCATTAGCCCCTACTTGCAGAGCAATAATGACTTTTTAAGGTGTGTTGCTAATGTGTTGAAAACTTGATTGATCAACTGGTTCGGGGAGGGACAGAGAAGGGCTATGGACAACTGGAAAGAAAGTTCTCAGGAAGCCCAGATTTTGCAAAACAAAGCCTTCTCTACATTTCCTGCGTTATTTTTAGAGTTCCTGTTTGCCACAGTAAGAAAAATCAGCAGTCTCTGGGTACATGCTCTTCCTTAACTTGAGACCAAGAATCAACACCCAAACAAGAAGGGCATAAACAGAACAGCCTCTAGTGCTCTATGTTCTGGAGTCTGGTCAGTCAGTCCATCTGTCTCTCATAGGCAGGAGAAGATAGGAATTTCTGGTAAGGAATATTTGCCATTTGATTCATCACTCTATTTGCCAGGCCCTGACTGGAGCCACCAGAGCTACAGTGTTAGCTGGTCCAATGAGATTTCACAAAAGAACCCTTTTTTGTAACATGCATGTCCACTATTACCAGCATTTAACATTTTATGGCTTTGCATAGAATTAATAGTGAACCTTAACAATTATGGGATGGCAACCGTTGTGACACTATGACCCATATTCACCATAGTAATATTATTATGGTATGATTATGGCATAATTATTATGCATTTTGTACAAGAGGAGTCATGTAAGGTGTCATTGGAAAAGTTTCAGAGTAACAGCCGTGTTAGTCTGTATTCGCAAAAAGAAAAGGAGTACTTGTGGCACCTTAGAGACTAACCCATTTATTTGAGCATGAGCTTTCGTGAGCTACAGCTCACTTCCACAGTATGCATCCAATGAAGTGAGCCGTAGCTCACGAAAGCTTATGCTCAAATAAATTGGTTAGTCTCTAAGGTGCCACAAGTCCTCCTTTTCTTATTGGAAAAGTTATGATTTGCTGAATATGATTATCCTATTTGTATGCATGCATCATTTTTGTCTCTAAAGTTATGAATATTGACTAGGGATCTGTATTTCACATGTAGTTACACCTGGGTGACACCCACTAGGCAAAATGCTACCAGCTTAGACAGCTGCTTGGAAAGGGCCTATTCAAGATAATGGGCCATTAGGAAAAACAATAGGCCTTAGGAGAAGCTCATCCACCACCCAGTGAGCCTTCCTGAGAACGCTCAAGACAGCCTGTAAGTAATGGCTGCTATGACTCTGGAGTGGGATGTGACCAGACCACATGACTTCTGGACTCCATTTTGGGTACCTGTATTTTTCCACAAACTGGGCTGGGAACTGTTTTTGGAACAAAGGGTTCCCTCCATATGCTAAAGCTATATAAGGCAGGAAGTGACATCATCAGTTGTTCTTCACTCCCCCACAACTGAACACCTGAGAAAAGCTCCGAAAGAAAAGGACTTGAAACGGGGGTGGGGATCCCAACCTGCAAAGCAAGTGCAGCTTGTGCCTTGAGAATCTGCGAGCCTGCTTGTATCATCAGTCAGGCCGAGAGATTGTTCATTCTAAGTCTATCCTTCTAGTATGTTAAGCTTAGTTTGCATTTTTGTTTATTTACTAGGTAATCCGCTTTGATCTGTTTGCTATCACTTATAATAATTTAAAATCTATCTTTTTGTAGCTATTAAACTTGCTTTATATTTTAACCTAAACCAGTGTGCCTTTAAGTGAAGTGTCTAGGGAAAAATCTCAGCTTGGTTACCACAAGTGTGCATATTCCTCTCCACATTGAGGGAGAGGAGAACTGAGTAATAAATTCATACTGGTTGGGATTTTGACCAGGGCAGAAAAGTACAGCTCTGGGGTCCTGGGCTGGGATGCTGGGGGTAATTTTGGCTGCAGCCTCTCTATTGTTGGTTCATATAGTGGCTGGCCAAAGCCTGCATACAACTGGGTGTGTCCCTGCCTGTGTGAATGCTGGTGGGAGTGTAGGACTGGGAGCCTGGCACAGCAGCACAGTGCAGAGAGGGAGACCAGGCTGGTGAGTCAGAGGGCTCAGTGGTACCCCAGTTCCAGGTTGCACCCCAGGGGGAACCCATCACAACTGCCACCTTAAATCCATCTCTCTCTAGGAAAACACACAACAAGGAAAGTCAGTAGCTGACCTATGGCTGGACTGTCCTTTTCCTTATCAGAGAGCCTAGTTACAGTTATAAAGAGAACACTCTACAATCAAGTATAGAGCGAGAACTTGGTGGGGAAAAGTGCACACGATGCATGTTGTTTAGTTACCAAAAGAGGTTAATAGGTGAATATTGTCATTTCCCAACCAGAATTCTGTCAGGCGGCTGCCAAAACCTCTCTTGTATGAATGCCAGTCACGGAAAAAATCCACTGAACCATCTGCCCGCCTCTGGAACACCTGTGGGGAAATGAAAGGGATGCAGATCAGTTTCTGTCCTGAACAAAGCAAGAGTACCAGAGCAGAATTTTAAAGCATCCACAGTCACTATTAAACTAGTCAAATTCTACTCTGCCTCACAGGATATAAATGAGAGCTCAGATTGGCATTTAATTACTGGTACTTATTTCCATCTGTTTTGAAAATTGACAAAGTGGATAGATGCTGTAACAGATTCATAGATTTTAAGGCCAGGAAGGTCTCCTCCATACATGGACCATAGAATCTCACCCAGTACTTTCTGCATTGAGCCCACAAATAGAAGTCTAAAGCAATGAACTAATACAATTTCACCTCTTACATGCTGGAAAGCTAAGGAATTACTTCTACATAAATAAGTGACATAAGATAGCAGCTGCGGACAAAAATGACCGATAAGGAGCTTGTGTCTACAGCCATGTTCCAGTTGTGCAAGTGAAACTTTCTGAGCACCTGGTGCCTTAGCACCAAAAAGGGAAATCCTCCCACTGCTGTGTTAATAGGCTTAACAGGGAAATTGGAAGTTAAAAGAATAAAATATTAAAAGCTGGTCAGAAAATGCAGTCCCATTGAAACTGAAATGCTTCATAAAATTGTATTGAATTCTCAACCTCTTGTACTATATATTATAATATAAACAAAGTCAAAATCAAAATGACACACTTGTGCTGATATTAGCTAAATGAAATGTTTTTGATTGATCCAAAACAAAACAAAAATCAGAATATTCATTTGGAGAATTTTAAAATTTTCAAGTTTTATTCTGATTTGTAAATAAGCCAAATTCTGCAATTGTGAATTCCTAGTGAAACAGAATTCCTCTGCATTGCACATATTTTCCCTCCTCTTTCAACTCCATTTAACACAGTGGACTATGGGGTTTTTCTTTTATATGGCGATAGGTATTGGATACAAAGGTAACCAGAACCTGTAAGACCTCACTCCCTTAACACCATCAGCTCCTCACTTTTTTCCTCACCTTGTGCACCTCCTCTTCCCCCAAATTCTAACAGAAGAGATTTAAACAAGCTCCCAGTTCAGCCTCAATTTTATCTTAAACACACTGCCAAGATGAGAAGTTTCTGTTTGAACTCCTGCTCCTAGTGAACATGTATCACTGGGACAGCACAAAGAAATAGATTTCATTTTCAACCAAGGTTACAAATGCCTTCACATGGTTGATGTCCTTTCTAGGAACTGACTTGTTTGAGCAAACCCTTGGCCCCATCCCACGCCCTGTGAAATCCATCAATGATTTGCATTGGCTTTGATGGCAGCAAGAACGAGCACTCCATGATTTGTTCTCACTTACTATCCATCCACCTCCGTCTGTGTCCATGTCACACAGCACAGTCGTGGCATTACAGTCATGGGGGTAGATGGTGTACCAGCCGCTCATGATGTTCCCTCTGGTTAACAGCTCCTTGCAGTTCTTCGCTCCTGGAGAGGATGGTAATTTAATGTTATAAATAAATTACTTGCTGGAATGGATAATTACACAAGCATCATTGATCCCTTTTCAAGGAACTAGGAATTTCAAATAGTTGTCTTTTCCAAACCCTAGAGTACTGGATTTCTTTTTAAACAGCTTTCCTAAGTCCTGACTCCTATTTGAAAAGACATCAGCAAAACGGTACATTCCCGATGAAACTGACTCCTTCAGACTTCATATAGAAATGTACACAAGGATCCACAGTGGCTTTTAGTCATTAGCCCATTTTACAGGATTACCTGCTTGTATTATAGTCAGGAGGGTTTCTGGTATAACAAATGCATGTAAGTCAATAATGCTAACATAGCAGAAAGAGGTGTCAGTTACACTAGTTGCTACAGAAGTCGGAATGAATTCCAAGCACCTTTGACTGTGTCTCTACCCTGTGAGCTGACCTCCAGGTCCCTTGAATGGGATGAGTTGACAGCTCAAGTAATGTGATTCTAGGAAACACTCACCTGTCTTACAGTGTACGTCCTTCAGCTCCTCCTCAGCTGTTCAGGAAGGCAAACAGAAGGAAGGGGGATTGAAACCAGGAAAAGAATGATATTTTCCTAAACTCCTGCTCAGGCCACAAGGCATGTATGTATCATGAGTTAAGAGACAGTAAAGCATCTTAACGCATCTCTAACCCCAGCTACCAGTATGTGGAGACAAGTCCTTCCCTAGACAAAGATCAGTGTCCTAAATTCTCTCCAGCCATAGATTTTACTTCCCACACCCCCATCCATAAAAATAACATCCAGTTACACCTTACCTAACATTCTTCACAAGCTGGGAAATATTCAGGCAATTGTAGGGTGTGAAATACATTTTATCCCTTTAGTTCCTTCTGCACCAAAGTAGCATAATTTCACACATTGGCTGTGATCTGAGCCTCCCCAAACTTTCAGGGGAGATCAGTTCTCGATCCAAATGCAGATGCACATATGACAGCCCATGCTCATCTCTAATTATTGAAGTTTTTTCACACTCTTGGATAGCTCATCAGCTCCAGGGATATTAACAAATTCAGTATTGTGTGCAAACAAATTGCACTCTGAAAGTTTCCTGAGAGGTTCAAGTGTACTTCTTTTAAAATGAAATCAAATTATATTCTTGCCATAAAAGAAATTGCAGATGTTCTTACTTATAGTTCCAGGTACTCCACTGTCTCCTTTATCTCCTAAAAACACCAAAAAACACACAGGAACAAATCATTACACAGCCAAGAGACAGCATCCTGATCTGAGTGCTCATCCCAGCATTTGTTATTAATTCCATGTTGGTGTAAAACCCCAGTTCCCCTACATCACCCCATAAAAAAAATATTAACCCTTCCAGAGTTTGATAAGTGTGACACAGAGGAGAGAGGGCCAAATTCTTTTTCACATCAGTGCCACCCCCCTGACTTCATCCGAGTTGAACGAGTACAAATAAGAGTGTAATTTGGGCAACTGTGTATGGTGGGGTGGGCTCTTTTTATTTTATTTTTGAGGTGAAGGCTGGAATTTCCAAAGGAGACCAAAAAAGTTAAGTGCCCAACTCCCATTGACTCTGGGACGCATTGGGTGCAGAGTTCTTTCGAAAAACTCTTAGCATGTCACAACTGCACTCCCTACTGACTCAGTTTCTATCACTAAGGATAACAGCATAAAAGACAGGAGTATAGCTCAACAAGTAAAAATTATTGGAGGTCTCTTACCTTTCAGACCAGGAACACCAATGTCACCATTCTCTCCTGGTGGAAAATGGAAAGAATGAACAGAGACGTAGCAATCTCAATGAGAGCTTAGAACTGAGGTTCTATTGGGATAAGAGCTGGGTGAATACTGAAAACACAGATCTATGAATTTGTTTGTGAAAAAATGGCCCAAAATGTCATTAGTGTCCATTCAATGGAGTCCGACTATTTGCTGTTCATGAATATTTAGATCATTGCTAGTATTAATGAAACTACTTACTTGTCCTGCAGACTGCATGAATTCATACCAGAAGTTCTTCAGTCATCACTCTCATATTAAAAGGTTTCAGTCAACTAGATCCCGTGACTCCACATCATAAATTACCAATGCCTGTAGCAAGCATTTCACAAAACAGCCAGCGGCTGAGAATACTTTGGTGAACACCAGGAATAATGGATACATTCTTAGCAATTAGGAACAGTTCATGAGTGAGTCATAAAACAAAGAGAGGCCTAAATTTGATTCATGCTCTAAATTGAGAGAAAGATGGGAGGAGGGGTATTGTTAAATGTTTCATAAAAGGAAAATTCAAATGTTAAAAATTATTTGATGGTAGTTAAACAAATTTACTTAGTCTTTTTATTACTTTACCTTTCTCTCCAGCTGGTCCCATCTTCCCAGAGCTCCCCTGAGTTCCCTTTTCTCCTACAAACACAGAGAATGAATTTAAACATTTTATATTTTCAAACACAGAAGAAATTAGAACAGATCTGAGCTCCCAATTCTACCCTTTCTGGCTGAATCCTCAGGCAATGTAAAAGGACACTGAAGTGAATGGAACCAAGCCAGTTTTCATCAGTTGATGATATTGCTCAAATCCTGCATGTAATTTACATGGTCTTTTAATCAGCAACACTATGGTTATATCCGATGAAGTGAGCTGTAGCTCACGAAAGCTTATGCTCAAATACATTTGTTAGTCTCTAAGGTGCCACAAGTCCTCCTTTTCTTTTCGCAGATACAGACTAACACGGCTGCTACTCTGAAACCTGTTATTTATTGAGTAATTCATGTTTGTGCCTGCACCATCCAAAGCCAATTCTCACTCAATGCTGAGGAAAGTACCTCTCATTCCTGCAGCTCCGGGTTCTCCTTTGAGACCTGTGGCACCAGGAACACCAGGGCATCCTTGCAGAATAGCGAGCTTCTCATTACCACCAAGACCCACCATTTTCACTTCTGGAGACATAAAATAATATTTATCAGACACGGAGGATATGGGATGTTTTGCAAATGTGAATTCCAGGTGGAATTCTCTGTGGCTCCCACTGTGGAGGGCTGCAGAAGAATCTTCTTTGGACCGTGGGGGAAGGTAGAGTCAGAGTGGAAAGCCTCTGCCCCAAACTCCCTGTCAGGCTGTGGGTTTTCTGGCCTGTCCTCTCAGTCCATATTTCCTCTTGCTCGCAAAGTGAAGTTTCAAGAGCTTCCATAGTCCAGACTGCATTGAGATTTGCATTTAAAGACGGGATTAAGCCTCCTTCTTACATATGTGTCATGTAATTTATCATCCCCAAACTTACAGCACTAATTCGGTGCATAGAATGGAGTTTCTGCGAAGTCCACTAGTTTGAGTTATAATTGTTTAAAAGTCAGCCCTTAGAAAAAGAAGTTTAAAAAACAAACACTTTGGTCCCTCTAGTAAAGATGAAGAAGGGGACATGGGGGTGGTATGTTCATGACACCTGCATAAAGTAAAGATGATTTCATCCATGATTTCAGAGATGATATTACATTTAAACATGGCAAATCTTTAACACAGTACAGGCAGTCCTTGGACTCGTAACACAATTAGTTCCTGAAAATTGCGTTGTAAATCGAAACGTCGTAACTCAGAACCGCAATCCACTCCACTGTGGGACTGAGCCTCAAAGTCTAAACCAATTGTCTTAAGTCAAAGCAGGGTGTAAATTCAGAAATGTCATAAGTGCTGTTTGTTGTAAGTCGAACGTTGTAAAGTCGAGGACTGCCTGTACAGTACATGACCATGACAGTCCTTCATTGTGTGAACAGCAGTTTTCAAAACAAGGCTGCAGGAAAGAAAGGGGTAAAAGGATCAGATCTTCAGCTGCTGTAAACTGGCAAATTGACTTCAGTGGAGCTTTGCCAATTAACACCAGTCCATCTAGCCAAAACACTGATGCATTGACATCTCCTGCTGGAGAGTGAGTTTGTGTGTGTATGGGGGTGGGGGGCATGTGAGAAAACCTGGATTTATGCAGGAAATAGCCCGACTTGATTATGTAAAGAGTTGTCACTTTGGATGGGCTAGCACCAGCAGGAGAGTGAATTTGTGTGGGGGGGGTGGAGGGTGAGAAAACCTGGATTTGTGCTGGAAATGGCCCACCTGTTGATCACTTTAGATAAGCTATTACCAGCAGGACAGTGGGGTGGGAGGAGGTATTGTTTCATATTCTCTGTGTATATATAAAGTCTGCTGCAGTTTCCACGGTATGCATCTGATGAAGTGAGCTGTAGCTCACGAAAGCTCATGCTCAAATAAATTGGTTAGTCTCTAAGGTGCCACAAGTACTCCTTTTCTTTTTCCTCCAAACAGAAATTGCCAACATTACAACACATAGGAAACTTGAGGTGTGAGAAGCATGTTTTGAGTCTGGGATTCTGCTTGGAAGTTGTTCGCTGATGGCTTTACTGTTCTTTTCCCTGTTTTCAATGTCTGTGTTGGTGATGTAACATATTGGTTAGTATCTCACCCTTTCTTACCAGAGCTTTTAGTTTTTTACAAGCTGGAAGCCATTTGTGAAGGTGATCTAGGAACGAGGTTTATACAAGAATGTGTATTAAGAGGGGGGATTTAAATATATATAACATGTTAGAAAATTCCAAGTCTTGAACATTTTAAAATACTTTCTGAACTGAAAGTCTGTGGAACAATAGAATGGATTGAAAATTAACAGCCGCGCCTCTGAATTTCATGGGTTCTGTTGGTTTATAGCAGCCTGAACCTGCAATAAAAACTATCCATCCCCAAATAGCTCAATAAATGCAAGTCTGTATGGGGAGCAGGAACGGCTTTCCCAGCTACTTGTATCCAGGTGCAGAGGGTAATAGAGCCTGTAATCAGCATCTTTTGGTGCACATGTTGTACTAAGGTGCCATTTATAAATGTTGAAGAGATGTTATAAGCACATTAGAAACCCATGTAGTATGTGTTATAGATGGTTCTAAACACATCAGCAGAAGATGTTATAGATGGTTTTATTCAAAGGTTTATTACAGTAAATAATCATTCATATTATTGATTTAAGACGTGGTAAGCACCCCATTGACTTAACAGACTCTATAACAATCTGTAACCATAGACAAGCCTTGTATTAAAACAAGTTAATCATTTAATAATGGAACCTTAATATAAAAGATGACTGTGTTTTGTATGTGCTTTAGTACAGCTGCATTTTCCTCCTTATTCTAGATTCCACATTAATTGCAAAACTCTGGGTAGTACCTCCCAGGGGCAAGGGAATGAGGAAACAGTGTTGTGTGGCCCATACATTGGCTTTGTGGGGGCTGGCACATAAGCAAGTATTTGATTTCATGAGGATGATTAATGAGCCAGAATTGGAGCAGCTTGGGATGCTATTGGAGATGGTTTCATTTTGAGAAGGGGAGTCTTTCAAGGTTCCCTCTTAGTAACTGGGAATTTTTCAGCCTTGTCTCCCTCATCCCCACCTCCCCAGGTCTGCCACAGCCCAGAGAAGATCCCAATACTAATGGGAGAAGCTGGAAGCTATGAAGTGAGTCTAATGTGTCTGGTTCCTCCCTGTTCAGAGCTTGGCTGTATTGTGTGTGATCCCCGCTGCTCCTCAGAAATCAGCAGAAAGTCCTCTCTACGTGCTCCATGGAGTTAGGGCCCCCTGGCTCTGGGGTAATGAGGGAATGGAACTAGGGGGGCAGATGCTCCCAGCAACATGCTCCGTTTGGGACCTAGGGAATTTCCCATCAACACTAACTCCCCCTCCAAAGCATCCCCTTCCCAAAGAGGAACAGTAAGGCGGATAAGCATGGCGGGGTGGCCACTCAGAGAGCCATGCTACTGAGAAGCATGGGGGAGGCTGTGCAACACTATGGAGAAGCTTCCTTTCTCCACAGTTCTCTGGGGTTTGGAGGCTGGGACCCTGCTCCCCTAGCTCCCAGATTCCTCTCTCCTATGGGGAGTATTTCTTAGAAATCCCATGAGATGAACTGTGCCTGATTCCTTCGCCCTGATTCCCCTTCCTGAGACCTCACTGCAGGCGAGTCTTCAGTGGTGCTTCACCATCAGGGGTGGACATTAACTACTGCAAAGTAGCTAGTCGGACCCATGTTGTTAAAAGGTAACAGCTTTGTTCCTCACTCACCTGGGCAGGTGTCCTGAGCCTCACAAACCACAGCTGCTAGGCAGAGTACGGCGAGGAGGGTTTGCTGGGCAGCCCTCCCCATGGCCAATTGCTGGTCTCCGCAACGGCAGCTCCACTCGTCTTCTCACTGCCCTCTCCTCTGCTTTAGCATTTCAGAGCTGTGAGAGTTTTCCAGGCAACACAAATTATAATATTAAGCTCCACCTCTGACCTCTCAGTCTCCTCAGCCAGTCTCCATAGTCCAGTTTTTTCCCCTGCCGAGATCACTGTAGAGGAAGTGTTGCCACCTGGGTGCAGGGAAATCCTCAAAAGGGTTGACACTTTTTTTTTTTTTTTAAATATAAAACCTCCTGTGGCCTTCTGGTTCCAGTCTTCTGGTTTCCCTTTGGTGAGCCGGGGGATTTACACTGAATGTAGAGCTGTCGGGGAGAGGGTTATTAGGAGCTTAATTCCAAAATTCTGAGGAACTAACCCACACCTAAGGAACTAAATACACCTCCGACAAGTCACTTTCATGCAGCGGGTACTGTATAACTGGTTACCACATTCAAATCTCTTGCCCTTTATAAATCAGCAGCAATGCCCAGCCATGCTCTGGGTATTTGCATAATTTTGGTCACACACATACACATTTGTATTCTGCTCTGTTCAGGTTCTTATACCAGGCCCATCATCTTGGTGTGTGAGCACCTTCCAGAGACGCATTAAGCCTCATAATATTTGGATTCTTCCTAATGGACTGTGCCACCTGCTTTAGGATCCAAGCCAAACAACACTGAAATTAGTGGAAACCCTCCCATTGATTTCAATAGATCAGGCCCTGAATAAATACCCACCAAGAGAACAACAACCCCTTTCTGTGGCAGGTATCTTAAAAAAAAAATCCTCAATTCCAAAACGTTTGGACTATTAGCACATCCTGGCTCTGAAGGCCACATCTTGTGGATATCCAGATACATAGTGCACCAAGGCAGACACTAACCAGCCAAGGCGTTTTTCATCCAATTTTTGTCACTGTTTTGCTCATCAAGGAATCCTGCTTGGTGGTGGCATAGTTGTAAGATCTCTGATCAGGTTAGATAAGCATTTAGAAACCCATCCTGTGAACTCTGGTTCATCTGAGTAGTCTAACTGAAATTAAAGGGATGAGTCACATGAGCGAGGGTTTGCAGGACTGGGCAGTAAGAGACTCCCTAGTGCGCCTTTACCTAGCACCTGAGCAGAGCACAGGCAGAACAGGAGGTGGGTTAGCACTCTGAGCCAGCCCTCAACCTTGACAAGAGCCATGCTTCATATGGACACCAGTAAAGGTGCCTGCCGTGATGTATCCCTTTTGGTCCTTTCATTTCTCCCCCTGGTTCCCTATAGATTGGAGCCCTCTTCCTTGAGACCAATGCACAGCCTGCTATCCATCTCTCTGCTGTCAGAACTGCCTTCTTCCACTAACTCCGCTGTGTCTACCTGCTACCATTTCCATTCCTCCACCTTCTCAGACTTGCTCCATGGCAGAACTCCATAAACAGGGAAGTTTACATCTTTTCCTCCACACCAGTCCCCCTGCTCCTGGAAACCCAGTTTGTTGCCTCTGCCACATGCTCAGTCTTCACTGGTCCAAAAACAGGTGTTCTGAGGTTTCTTTGGAACCTGGGTCTCTCCTGTAGCAGGATGACGTGAAACCCATCCCTTCAATGTTCTTACGTTACCTGGCTCTGCTCCCTCAGGGCTGATTGCACTAATGTTATTGGGGGGGACTGAGTTTTCAGGGAGATTTGTTTTATTGTTAAGAGCCTTATTACAGCAGTAAGAGCACTGGCTACTACCCAAGTTCCTTTCCTTCCACTTAACACTAGAAGGCAAAAATAGATTTAGTAGGACACAAAGGGAGGGAGGCACTGAGGGATTTACATCCATATTAATCTGCCTAGTTTACGAAAGGAAACCTATCTTTGTTTACAACAGCTGGAGATAGGGTATGGATGGACATGACCCCTGCTGGAATGTGATTGCAGTGTTTATCCCCAGGGCGATATAGAACAATGAAACATTGTGGAACTCAGCGTGGAGGAAATGTCAAAGAGTGTCTTAAAGTTCAAGGATTTTTACAAATGTTCTTTGCAAGTGTTGTAGCTGCATTGGTCCCAGAATATGAGAGACACAATGTGAGTGAGAAGAAAAGGAGGACTTGTGGCACCTTAGAGACTAACCAATTTATTTGAGCATAAGCTTTTGTGAGCTACAGCTCACTTCATTTGGAAAGGAAGATGATGTCTGTCTGTATCTGTACGAGTTTTTTCATGAAGTTGATAGATTTCCACTCCATACGGCTAAATGCAGTGCCTTGCATAATGACAGGTTTCAGAGTAGCAGCCGTGTTAGTCTGTATTCGCAAAAAGAAAAGGAGGACTTGTGGCACCTTAGAGACTAACCAATTTTTTTGAGCATAAGCTTTCGTGAGTGAGAGAATATCTTTTATTGCCTTCTGTTAGCAAGAGGGACAAGGTTGTGAGCTACACAGAGCTCTTCTTGTTCACGAGGCCTGGTTGAGACTAGCACAGATTCCCTATTAGAACAACTTTTTATTAAAGTTATACTTAGACATGCAACTCAAAAACAAAAAAAAAAGATGAAAAAAGATCGTCAGATGAAGTGAGCTGTAGCTCACAAAAGCTTATGCTCAAATAAATGTGTTAGTCTCTAAGGTGCCACAAGTCCTCCTTTTCTTTTTGCGAATACAGACTAACACGGCCGCTACTCTGAAACCTGTCATTAAGTGACATAGGAGCCTAAGCCCCATTTTCTGAAGGGATATAGGTATTTAGGAGCCTGGATCCCATGGAAATTCACTTTTGAAAATGGGTCTTAGGCTCCTCAGTCACTTAGAGACTTTTGAAAATCCCACCCATAATATTGTTCATAAATGTACATTACAGTAAGGCTGCTCAAACATTTCTGGGGCAGCTCATGCTGTTCTCAAGCCCACAGGTGGAGTGTCGGGGAGGAAAGACCTGGGGGCCAAGTGAAAGCTGAGGTAGGAACCTTCAGTTTGCTCTTTTTTTTGTTTGTTTTTGAGTTGCATGTCTAAGTATAACTTTAATAAAAAGTTGTTCTAATAGGGAATCTGTGCTAGTCTCAACCAGGCCTCGTGAACAAGAAGAGCTCTGTGTAGCTCACAACCTTGTCCCTCTTGCTAACAGAAGGCAATAAAAGATATTCTCTCACTCACGAAAGCTTATGCTCAAATAAATTGGTTAGTCTCTAAGGTGCCACAAGTCCTCCTTTTCTTTTTATGTCACTTAACACTTTTAAAAAATGTTACCCAAAGGGTACGTCTACACTGCAAAAAAAGACCTGCAGCACAATTTGGGCTGGCCCAGATCATCTGATTTGGGCTCAGGAGGCTCAGGCTTTGGGGCTAAAAATTGCAGTGTAGTTGATCAGGCTTGCACTGGAGCCTGGGCTCTGAAACCCTGCGAGGAGGGAGAGGATTTTTATTGCAGTGTAGATGTACCCTGACTGACTTAGAAGCACAAATGCTTTTAATTTTGGAGCTTGTGTTCTTAAGTCACTCAGGGCCTGACTGTTAAAGGTATTTAGGCACCTAAATCCCAGGCATCTAAATACCTGTAAGAATCTGGCCAAGTCAGTTTTGAAAATCACACCCTAAAGTCTTTAGTTGAAGGATTACATTTTATTTTATTTTATCCTTTCCATTTCTTTGAAAGCAACTTCCTCAATAGCACTGGGCTCTTTTACAAGAGTTTGAAAGTACCCATGGCTTTACCTAGGGCAGGGCTCTCAACCTTTCCAGACTGCTGTATCCCGTTCAGGAGTCTAATTTGTCTTGCGTACCCCCAAGTTTCACCTCACTTAAAAACTACTTGCTTACAAACTCAGACATAAAAATACAAAAGTGTCACAGCTCATTGTTACTGAAAATTGCTGAATTTCTCATTTTTACCATAGAATTATCAAATAAATCAACTGGAACATAAATACTGTAGCACATTTCCGTATACAGCATATAGGAGCAGTATAAACAAGTCATTGTATGAAATTTTAGTTGGTACTGACTTCGCTAGTGCTTTTCACGTAGCCTGTTGTAAAACTAGGCAAATATCTAGACAAGTTGATGTACCCCCGAAAGACCTCTGCGTACCCCTGGTTGAGAACCACTGACCTAGAGAACCACCGTTTCTTCCTAGGATTGATGTCACTGTATGAAGGGTTAGTACCAAGAATTATGGTAAAGCAGCAGAGACAATGATTGGCCAGCGATGTGTCATCATTCCCAGAAGCACCATGTTCCAGGAATACTGGAATAGCACACGACACTAGAAGTGCTCAGGTATCATTGCAGCCCTCCAAAGGAAATTTGGATGTTGGAATATAAACTAACCGCTTAACTTTAATCCTGGTCTAATGGATAGGTCATTGGACTGGAAATCAGAAGATCTGGCTTCTATTCCTGGCTCTGCCACTGACTGGATGCATGATTTTGGGCAAGTCATTTCACCTTCTGGGCCTCAGTTTCCCCTCCCACCTTTTGTCTTTCTTGTGTACTTAGATTGCGAGAACTTTGGGATGGGCTGACTCTGTGTGTTTTCACAGTGCTAGCACAGTGAGGCCCTGATATTGATTGAAACCTCCAGGTGCTACCTCAATACACATCATAATACCACCAAAGCCAGAAACAGATCATTCATTTTTGAAGATTCCCACTAACAAGAAAGGAGGAAGCTGTCAGGAAGATGAGCATGGATATTTTCTTTGTTAAAACTAAGATGCTGAAACAATCAGATAATTACTACCGACACTGAAAAGCTACTTTTGTAATTGGAACATGACTGTGAACTGGCAGTTACATTACAGCTGAATTTTAAGGACGTTCAGTTCCCAATCAGTGGACATAGGATCTGCTCTTCTGGGCGGGAACAGCACCTTGTACAGCAAATTCTTTTCACAATCTGATCATATCTTCATTCTGCCCTTCTAGAATTGACAGGAATGTCCTGGTTCCATTGTGATGACAATCGTCATATTAGTGTGCCGCTTCGCTTTGAGGCTTGCTCAGGAAGCCATTTTTCCTGCAAAAGCTACTGATTGTGGTCTCTGTGGGCCAGAGTTTCAAAAGAGCGCAAGGCCAGATTTCCATTATTTTCAGATTTCCAATTGATTCTGCTATCCGCCACCACAGTGCAAATCCGAAGTAACTGACTGCCAGGGAGATACCCCAGAGTACCTCAAGGAGTGACTGAAATCCGAATCTCTTCCACTGGGATCTGCCTCCTCAGCTCCACAGAAAACAACTACTAGCATGTACCCAGCATTCAGGGCTAGTTACCAGGCACTTTCTATGGCATCAGTGTAAACTACATGTTTACAGCCAGTCTGGCTTGGGGGGAGGCCCAGCTGGCTGAGCACCATGCCGAACTCTGGAAGCCCCATCTGGCTGTTTGTCTCTTGGAAAAGTGATTGGATGAAAAAAATTAAACACTAAAGAGCTTTTTCTGACACCTATGCAACAGCTCTGCAGCGTCTCATATTCCACGGGTCCAGGAAATTGTGTAGCTTGCCAGCTAACTGCAATCCCAGATTTCCTGCAGCATGAGAGTTGCTATCTCTATTTGCAATGCTGAAGCCTAGTAGCAGCCCACCAAGTCTCAGAAATCTCACAGGAGAGACCTTCGTCTCTTCAGGCCACTCCTTTGTGTGCTCTCATTCTATCTGTCCTGTAATTGCCCTCTGCTGAGAGCTGACAACCCCTGGGACAACAGTCAGAGTTCTTCCACAATGCTGTCCTGCCCATTGTCCTTAGCCATCACACGGTATGCGATGCGTGTGAAGGAGCCCGTGAGCATCAGGACAAAGAGGATGAAGAGCAAGGGCCAGATCCCATATTCAATCCCTTTCAGGGAGCTCGGCTTATCCTCTGGGATGGTGTTGGTCAGATTCAGCATGTACCCAAGAGCCCAGCCAGCTGATATGTTACCAACCTAATGAAACAAAACAATAGAGTAAGACTGGGTTCGTGGCAGGTGACTAGTGATAGGTGAAGCCCAGGGCTGGAGGCTCAGACAGATATCTCAATGCCCAGACCCAACGCTTAGTTAATTTTATCCTGGTCTCAAAATTGGGTTAGAAGACTCAAAAGACCAGGCTTTCTCAGGAGATTACTAGTTTCTGAAGGGCACTTCTGCTTCCAGTCCTGGCCAAAGGCAGGAAGGGAAGGGATGTGACTTTTCTTTTAAAAGATGTGTCTAACCAATCTAACCCTGCCCCCCAGATTATTCAAAATCTGAACCCAAATTTCACAGCTGGCCCCCGGCTCTGTAACAGACCACACAAGCTCTCCAGATGTGAACACTCCCAAACTTTGCAAGGCATTCAAAAACCAGAAACAGACTGGGATTTTTTTTGACTCAGGCCCATCTCTCAACTCAGAAAACCATGAAGATGTCTTTTTGCCCTTAGTTTTAAATTATCTCCAGGCCACCTTCCCTGATCTACCACCTTGAATGGTGTCCTGCACCCCACGATACACTGCATTCTAATAGAGGACTAGTTGCTCAATGTTAGGGTTGGAATTTTGACCCATTCATTCGTGATGTCTGTCAAGTTTCACAACAGTGACTGACAGAGATGATCATCTTTCTGTGGCTTAGTTGATGGTCCTGCTTGTCAGACTAGTCACTTTATTTTATAAAAATATAGCACTGGGGTATAGCTGCATAGCTCAGGTTCTGAACGTTTGGACTCATTTCTTATTTTATCCACACTATTTTTCCCATCACCTTTGCCTGGGAGGAACTGCTGCCAGCCAGGAATGACAGCATCCGTGTAAGATATCTCAAAAATGATCATGGGAGAGGACATATCCCTCCCAGGCACTGTTAGCTACCTCCCCACAGACACATCTGTTATCTAAAGCATCACATTACTGACCTTCTCCTGGAATGTAATCTGGCCAGAGCTGTCCAAGTCGAACAGGAATCCCCTTGTACTTAGATGGTAGATGAACGTGGATACGGAACAGTGATCAGCAAGACTGTCTGGTTGCATCTGGAACCTCTTGCTCAGCTTAACAGCATTTGCAAAAGAAGTTAGACAAGTAAATATTCACTAACTGCATTTCCGAATGCTCCTAATATGGTAAAATCCAGTCCTTGTTGCTCTGTGCCACCAGTTGCTGAATTGCAACAATGCTCAGGAATGCTCTCAAGCGTCTTATTTATGGCTATGAAGTGAATGCTTCTTTCAGCCTGCTAAGCTGAAGAC